TTCGTGGCCGCCGACGATTCTTTCGCGGCGTGACTTTCCTGCCGACCTTCTTGCCTCCGCTTCGTCTTGCACACCGCAGCAAAGTGCCCCCGCTTGTTGCAGTTGCGACATGTCTTGTCTTTGGCCGGGCATTCCTTCGCATTCGCGCGGTGCGCACTCGAGCCGCAACGGTAGCACGACGCAGTCAACGCCTTTCCGGTGCTCCCACTCGTCGGCTTGTCAACAACTCGCTGGACGACGGGGTCTCCAGCAAACTCCTTCAGCTCTCGCTGAGTCTGATCGATGTGCCTGCCGAGGTCGATCGCGCGATTTAGTGTCAGACTTGTTCCCTCGAAGAGCAGGCGCTCGCGTATCTGCTGCGACACTGTTCCCTCCAAGAGCTGATCGCATATAGTCTTGTCAGCTGCCTCTCCAAAATTGCAGTCCGACGACAACTCGCGAAGTGCGGCGGCGTAGGCTTCGAAGGCTTCTCCCGGCAGTTGACGGCGCTGACGGAAACGATGTCTTTCCATCAGTTCGTTCGTCGCAGTCGAGAAGTGGTTGTCCAACACGGCCAGTGCTTCGTCGAATACATTCTTTTCATCATGCCCTTCGGTGACTCCTTCCTTTTCTTTGATGACCGATGCCGGAGAAGCCGGTGCTACACTATTGTAGATCCGTTGTCCTTCCAGGCCCAGCGCATTGAGCAGAGTAGCCTTCCTGCGTTTTGGCGCGAAGTCGTCGCCGCCGACGGTTTCCAAGTAGTTCAGGAAAGCTAACTTCCACTGCCGCCATGGCACGCAAGCTGGTCCCGGCGTAGCGAGGAACGGGGGTGGTGACGGACTGTAACTGAGCATGGCGTCCGCTCACCGGCAGCAGGCAGTAGCAGGCCCGGCAGGGTTCTTCAACGGTCTTCCCTCGTCGCCATTATGTAGTATCCTGAGGACACGAAGAAAGGGTCGACTAGTCCAATCGAACGTTGAACGAAAAAGCGTTTTTAATGCGAGTCATAGGTTGCCAGATCACGTTATGGTATGTACAGTGTTGCCAACATAAAAGCAGAACACAACAGTTTTGGAACCAACGACGGTGTATTAAGAAGAGAGCATTTCAGCTGTCTGCGCAAGAGGGGAGCACGTTTTCGTACGTCACTTCGGTACAAATAGCCACACGTGTTAAACGAAAAGCGCCGAATAAATGGGGACAAGGAAGTAGACAAGATTTAGTGCACTCTCAAATGAAGGTTTATCGAAACAAACACACTTCTCTGGCTATTCATTTATATAATAAAACTCTCATGTGCATTGACGTGGCACTAACGCATTCACTTTCCCCTTGCTTTCTGATACATGATGCATTGTAAAATTCTAAGACAGTTTCATCTGTGTATCTTCCGAGAATTGTTGTTTGTGCTAATTCTGGGTCACATGGGCACCTGTCCCAATGCACTGTCAGATTTCCCGGCGGGGACTGACCATGCATGTTATCTAGCTTGCTTGTTATCTTGATATGAGCGGCCCGTGGAATGTTTCGGCGGAGTGCTGAAAATGGCCCGCGTTGATATAGAATGCGGTCAACAGCGCGAAACCGCGAAATGTCCCCCTAAACAGCTCTTGCTGTGAAAAAGAGAACACTTACGAGAAACGAGCACTCACTCGCAACTGAGCCAGCATCGTTATACCTGTATTCTCACGTGATAAAACTCGTGAGAGCAAGTAACTCAGATTCACTCTAGTAAGATTTGGAATGCAGCGTAATTGCGTAGTAGCATGGTGTGGCGCGGCAGTGAACGGATACATGCAAAGTTGAAGCTGAAAAACGTGCGAAGACTGCCCAACGGAACGAGCCGGATCAGGTGCGAGTGGGGATATCCAATTGTGTCTCACAAGGCCACTTGACTATGAAGAAGTTTCTTATCGAATACGACGAGTGCAAGAATGTGGACATGGGCAGAACTTGCAAAAGAAATGCTGGCACAAAATGAACCTAGAAGACACAGTGCACCAACCTCGTCAAAGCTGGAATTAAGAGTTGGTGCATTGGTTTGTTTTCAATTTTAAAGCAGAATGCCCTGCATGTTAGAGATTGTGACTATCCGGGGCAAATTTTTTCAGTCACTATTTGCCCCTGCATACTGTGCACCAGCTATGGACTGTAATAAAAATTTTAAACAAAACCCCCCAAAAAATGTTTGCAGCTCGAAAGCTTTTTTGTGTGTGTGTGTGTGTGAGCGTGAGCGTGTGCGTGTGTGTGTGTGCGTGTGTGTGCGCACGCGCGCATGAAAATTGCTGGTTAAGGATTAGGTCTTCAGTTCTGTTCTCACTCCTTTCCATACCCATGTGCGGCTACAGCGTGGTGCAAGAAATGTTTTCGAAGGTTTAGGCCTTCTATATCGTATCCTCGCTAATCAAAGCAATTTTTATCTCCACCAAAATGTCCGAAACTAGGCGACTAAAGAAACTTCTAGCACATAGTTGCAGGGGGTCGCTCCTGCAAGTCTGGGAGGAGTGAGCTCCTCGACTGAACATAGTTACAGTTGCGCACACAAGGACAAGGACGGAGAAGAGGAACACGTAGACGACAGACAAGCGCTCTTGTCTGTCGTCTCCGTGTTCCTCTTCTCTGTCCTTGTCCTTGTGTGCGCAACTGTAACTATGTTCAATATCTACCAACTCGCCCAACTGTCTCCTCTACTACAGTTTACTCCTTGACTGCCGTACATGGCAACATTGCAGTGTACCGCACTGAATCTCTGGTTTCCGTTCGACTTTCTGTTTGGTTGTTTTTCACAACAAAAATGAGACTACGGTGAGAAAAATTTTTGGTGGTTTTTCGACCTCATAATTTTGTGTTTTACGCAAAGACATCAATGACCTTTTTGAGCTGTCGGTGTTTCTTTAACAGGTGCGGGGTATCTTCATGTTGGTTTCTTTAGTTTAACGACCAGGCTATATTTAATTTGGTTTACGGTATTTTTTTGCTTTAAAGAAGCTGCTACTTGTATTGAGATCACAAGCTGTCCTAGTTAGCTCATAGCTTATGAAGCATTCATATTGGTTTCCTTTCCCGAGTTGCCAATTTCGATGCACCAGTTTCTTGGCACTCGCTGCAAGTGATCTTAGCACTCGCTACAAAATTTCCCAGTCCTGTTCCAGGGTGCAGTTCTTGCCCCTAATAGATGTGTTCCAAAAGCCTCATTTTCATTCGGATCAGTCACAATGTTTGTGTACTTCAGAGCTTTGTAACATAGAATATGTCTTTTGGATGACTAGGCATTTTCCGACTTTATGGAAATGCATTACAGAAGTGTGTTACATAAATGCATTACCACACTTTAGTAACGAAAGTGCATTACGCAAATGCTGAAGTTAGCGAGTGAGCTCTCGCCCACCAAATTTAGTGGATTGTTGTTACATAAACCCGTCACTGTGATGTGGTCACGTGACCTCCATTTACTAAAGATGCTGGGCAAGTTTGGCTGATTTTGTTCACTCGGTACATCTCAAACTTGAGTGATCAATGCATAGTCTTACTGACGGGGGTCTTTTTTTTAGCTGATGCCCTACTCCCATTGGTTGACATAAGTGACCATGTGACGTTAAAGGGGCACTGACACCCCAAAGGTCATATTTTTTTGTTAGGAATGATGCAAGTTGTAGTCATAGACACAAAAAAAAATACCACAATGCGAAAAAAAATTTCCCTATGTCTATGCGTGCCTTTTTATATTTGGCGCTCTTCTCTCTCCCTTCTCACCTCCTCGTTTCTTTTTGTTTGTGACGTAATCAATTATGAAATTTAGAAGCTCTCTAAGTGACGCTTCTATAATATTTAATTACGGCATTCGCAAACATGTTTTTTAATGCAATTACAAACGCACTACACCCCTTTTTTTTTTAAATACCGAAAGTCTGAGTCCGGAGTTATGTCACCTCCTGGCTTTTTATCCTCCCTTGGAAAACTTGGCGGCGCCACGACGCTCGGTACATGTAGCACTGAGGATGATCGGTGACTCAGGGAATCGGATGAAGTTCTCTTTTTTAGGTGCCCAATGACCTTTCGAACATCGAAAAGGAAGTTGTCAGACGGTCAAAACAACTGGGTGTGGTGTCTGTGTATTGTAGCTTCGGTTGGGACTCCGCCGTGGCAGCCTTTCGCAGAACTGGCGCGACATGGCCCCTTACGTCGCTCACAAAAGTCCCCTGTGCATTCTCTTTGACCTCGCGCTGTTTTGAAGAATTCGAGAACGCCGACAGGGCCCTAAAAGAACTGCAAACTCGAGAGTGAAGCGCATCTGCTCGCACCGATAGCCGGCACACACGGAGGAGAGCGGTTGTTTGCAGGATGTGGGCGAACACGACGCTTCGTTTCGGGATGGTTTGGTGGCGCGAGAGAAACTTGAGTTGCAGGACGACTCAATCTTTGACATCACTGCACTGGCGCGGATCGTGCGGGAAGTTCAAATTCGGCTTTTGGATATTGTTTTTTTTTTACTTAACATGTACTGAGTTCCCAAGCTTCAAATTTTGAGGGTAATGTCCAAGCATTGTTTTCAATCGTTTTGAATAATAATAAAAAATTATTTTGACTTCTCAGTACCTTTTTAACAACAAATGGCGTTCTCTTTAGAAGTTGCAGTACGAGTCTTGGTACACAAACAATTGCACTGGAATTTACTGACCCAGAAACATATTTTGTGATGATGATTTTGTCGTGTATAGCCAAAGTTCTGCCAACATTGTTTTTAAAATAAATTGGTCTCGCTGATAATGCAGCAAGTTTGGATTTTTTCTGTTCCATTCTTTGTGTGAAGATGTTGATCATTGTTGCTCTTTTGTTAACTTTTGTAAACACAAAATGCCATGTCATGGATGCTTTTATCTTGTAGTCTTAGATTTTTTGTAAAGATCCGTGAAGTGACTGATTTAAAGGGTAGTGTTTTGCCAGCTTTTGTGTCTGGTTTTTTCTTGGAGCGCTCGAAGCCATTTCTTGAAATGCCTTGTTTGGTTATCTCATCGCAGGCAGGCGGACGACCAGGTGGAAGATGAACCCTTGACGTGGCTCGAGAGCTTGGGACTGAGCCAAGCCAACTTCCCCTCTCTCAATCCCAAGAAGAGCCAAATGTATCCTTCAGTATTCCATTTCATTCCGTTTGTCACACAGTCACGTTTGCCTCTTTTTGCTGGGAATTTCTCCTGGCGCCTATTTTCTTTACTGTGGAAGTGGCTCTTGCGCTCCCACACCCACCCCAGTCATCTGACTAAGACCGATTCCGGCATACATGATAGCAGACGAAGCCGGTGAAGCCACAGGAGCATCTTGCCTCGCACTCTGTGCATGTGTCACGCTGGCAGCAAGAGGATTCACTTGCTTTGGGTGGCGTTAGGTTGCAAGATTAGCAGCTCTCGATGTTTGGCAACTCGACCTTGACAATCCCGACGGCGCTCTGCCATTTAGCGACAGTCGTGCACCTTAAACGGCTTTCTCTACACTGACTTAGCTATATCTAATCTGCCGAGCGCACTTCCTTCGAAGTGCTGCTCAAACACGAACAGTGGCCTGGCGCTATCCAAGGCGACAAAGTCGAATAACCAGACGCCGATATCCGCTGATCTTGCAACCTTCTGACACCCGGTGAAAACGGTTCCCCTTGTCATCAGCTAGGTGCGCATGCTTGGTTTGGGGTTTCACGTTTCTGTGGTTTCGTTGACTTTGTCTGGCACTAGACGTCTTGTATTCCGAGTCCTTGTTTACACATCAGAAACCGCTAGGTGGTCATAGGCATCTTCGAGCTCTCCCCTTCATGCGGCATTGTGAAGGGCATGAATGCTAAGATCGGGAGTGTGCGCCAAGACATGCTGGCCCTTTTATCCACCATTCAGCACTGTGGCGGGCACTAGTTCTAGGCTTAATACTGCTTTCCGTGAATGCATGCTTATCTGTCTTCAAAGTTTCGAAGCTAAAGTAACACCCCAGCTCGTTTCGATCTGCATGAATTCTACCTTCGCAAAATTCGAATTCTAAACATGCATACTTGAAATTTGTCACGTGAACATAGTTTCGCAAGCAGTTTGTCTATTTTTTTTTCAGAGCTCCTATCAGGGTTGGTAAAATATAAAACATACAACAAAAACGGCGACCATGCATTGCCTATGCCCTATACCAGACGTCCGTCGCCTGCACACTGGTGCTTGAGCTTGTTTCGAGGTGGTCATTGTCCATATTATTCGTTAAAGGTATTTATTATCGCTACTATCTCGCTCATTGCCAGCCTCTACTGTTGGTTCCTAGCTAGCCTCTATTGTTGGTTCCATTTTTCTATTCAGAGAGCCACCCGGGAGGGAGCTCGTAAATTAGTGTGCTGACGACAAACAGCCCAGTATAGGACATAAGAAATGCACGGCCTCCAAATTTGCTTTATTTTTGATATTTCACTACCTCCGATTTGAGTTATAAAAAAATAAACATAAAACTTTTTGCAAAACTATGTTCACATGCCCAATTTCAGGTATGCACGTTTGGAATTTAAATTTTTCAAGGCCTGCCAAATGTGTTGGTCTTTACGCCGCACGGCGAAGCACGGTATGAATACAGCAATTATAGATACGTAAGTTACGAATACAGCAATTAACAGATAAAAACCAGCAATATTTGACGTTCGTGTTCGTACAAAGTAAGATTGGTCTACCTTATGTTAGGACCGACGAAATGTGTGATCAGCGCCGTTTGTATATGTGTGGCTGTGACCCTCTAAAGGGAAACACTTCAGGCCAGCTGTGGTGCTGCACTGGCTGAATTTCTCATTCACAGCAGAGACCCCACATGCCCACTAGGGATCACCAATATCCCGCTGTCTAGACATGAGTGCAAGACACAATTATTAGGCCCGAGTAGAAACCCTCTGCATTTTCTGGTGCTTCATGAAACATACAATAAATGAGGTGCCTGTGGAAAGGACATTGCTCATTGTCTAAAAATCCCCCAAAAACGAAAACAAGTAAATTTATTAGATTTTTTTTTTTAATCAGGTGGAGGTCGCTGTTCGTTATTGTAAAAAGCAAGTGTGCTTTTATGTCAGGACCTCTCTCAGGACGTGTCGTATGCCCACCTTGTGACTGCAGAAACGACCGTTTTCAATTCTTTGTCAGCGCACAACTCGGGGACAATGCCAATGACTAGGTAAATATTCTTGCTGAGATTTTTACCGAGTTCTGTGAAAACTGAACTGCCTCGAAAGAAGTACTTGCTGCTCGAAATCGGTCTTGTTTTTTCATGAAAACCGTCTGTTGAGAATCAGGTGTTCAGACTGACCTCAATCTCTTTTCCTCTATCGTATGCAGTGACGACACAGAAGCAGAAATATTTTTGAAGCTGCAGGTCATCTAAGGTACACATTTAGCTGCAAATACGTTGATAAAAAAAATGGTCATTCTCAATATGCAGACATACCGCTGGCTGGACGACGAAATGGCGGGGCCCGACCAACCAATGTTGCAATGAATGTGAATGTCCTTTTAAATGTATGTGTAGTAAAATTTAATAGCTATAATTTTTATGACCCCTAAGACACAGAATATTTTCATTTTAATAAAATTGAAGCACGAGGCCTCAAGAAGTTTCCCACGACACCCGTACAACCCCGCACTGGTCCTTTGGTTTTGGTTTGGCAGTCTTTTTCTCTGCAAATCTGTGACCTAAGCAAACAAAATTTTTGGTTGTGTCTTGACATCATAATCAAACAATCAATGGCCACATATTAATTATTCTTAGAAAGGTGCCGGTGTTCCTTTAGTCCTGTCGTTAATTTTGGACGCAAAGTCCCGAATTTTCCTCTCGCGAGTCGACGCATTTGCCGCGAGTTTCTTCCGTAACCCTCGTGTGCTTTCCTTGACTTTGCGGGGGGTGCGAAGGGAGGAGGAGAGCCGGGAGGATAGGCGTCCTCGGTCGCTGGTGTTCGTGGAGCGTGAGAACAGCCAGGCCCTGTTCAACTTCCTGCTGAACAGCCGGGCCTGTGTTTGCCCCACGGGCCCCCTGGCAGGAGTGCCCCCCACCCTGCTGGCCCCCGTTGCCTTCCACGGGGCCACCCTCAGGTCCCTCAAGGTGATCATGCCTTTAGGTTATTTTATCCGCTCGGATATTAATCGCGAGCATCACTCGGGCTGTCTTTTGCAGACCGAAAAGCCCAACTACGGGTCGTTTTCGGGCTGCCACAATTGCTCTAGAGCAGAGGTGGCCAGGCTGACCCGGCCTAAGAGCCGCAAGCAAAACCACCAAACCTCTAAGAGCCGCGGCGGGGGGGGGGGGGGGGGGGGGGGGGGGGCAGCAGTCCAACTGTGCGTAAGGTAGCAGTAGCACGACACTACCGAACCGCAACCTGTCTTTCGATTTAAAACGCGTTTCCCTTCCCTTTTTGGGGAAGTGCTCGTGTGACTGGGACGGAGGCGAAAAAGATGGGGCGGGGGTTAGGTAGTAGGCGAAGCAGCCGCGAGCTGAACTTTAACACGGGAAGAGCCACAGGCAGCTCGGGAGCCGCAGCTTGGCAACCCCAGCTATAGAGTAACCGTGTATGCTCCGCTTGTGGATTAGAGTATCGCAGCCATCTCAAATTTTAATGTGAAACATTCTTTGGCTAGGCTTGAGGCCCAGATAAAAGTGAAACCTGGATAAAAGCATGGCCGTGAGGCTCAACACTGATTGCTTGACGGGTGGGAGAGGAGGAGCGACCCTCTTGACGTTGATCAGTCTACGGGAGAAGTCATGTGACCAGAGGCGTAGGCGAGGAGCAGCTCGTCCACTTGTGTGCACCGAGGGAGAAGTGCTCAAGAGTGTAAAAGGCTCTGGAAGATCGTCAAGTTTATCGGCCTGACGAACGGTATATCACTTCGTTCTAGGAGCGACTATACAAGTGTCCACATGGTAGGCATTCAACTATCCGACGAAGGGCGCCTTGAACGCAGGCGTCTGACATCTGAAAATTTGGAGTATCGTTAAACGATTGTGATGCTAGAACATTTTTTTTTTTGTATACAACAGAATTGTCTGGCAATTTGCCATGAAGTTTGTCCGCTTGGCTATTAACCGCAAGTGTCACTTGTACCATCCTTTCTGCATTGGTGAGCTTCCTGCTCGCATACACTACAGGATGTAGCGTGCTGTCTCGTTTTTGAAGCAATACTGCTCCCGCGCTTACGTCGGAAACATCCATCCTCAGCACAAATTCCTTCTCTGGGTTTGGTGCTATCAAGATGGGAGGCTGCCCCAATCTGCTCTTTAGCTGCTTTAGCTTCTTGCTCCGGTCCCCATTCAACCTCATTCTGGGCTCCCTTCTTAGCTAACTCCACTAGAGGTGCGGTGAGACAAGCATAGTCCTCTACAAACTCTTTGTAGAATCCTGCACGTTTAAGGAACGATCTGACTTGCCTCTTCGTTCGTGGTCTTGGAACGTCTTGAAATTCTTTCTACAATTTTAGGATCTGGCGATATCTTCCTTTGGCCAATTTCGCGTCCTAAGAAGCTGATCTCCTTGAATGTTCTATCTCAAACTTCTTTGGCTTGATGGTGATGTTGGCCTCTCTTAGGTGTCGAAAAATACATCCTAGTGTCTCCATGTGTGCCCCCCACAAACTTGTCGCCACTAGAATATCAATGTAACGATGCGCGTCTGGGATCCCGTCGGGCAACTTTTGCATTAGCTTTGTGCATGTAGCTGAAGCAGTCTTTAATCCAAAGGGCATAAAGTTAAACTGGTAGAGTCCACTCGTTGACCAGAACACCGTCTTTTCTTTGGCACTTTCCTCCATGGGTGTTTGCCAGTAACCCTTGGCCACATCCAGCTTAGGGAAAAATTCAGGGTGTCTAGCGACCAGGAAAACCGGGAATTGTCAGGGAAATTTTAATTACTGGGAAAAATCGGGGAATTGTCAGGGATATTGTCAAAAAGCGAGCCCAGTCAGGCAAAATGAGCCGGAAACGCCATAGAATGGCCTGAGGAAAGACTTGAGGACTTGGGGGCAGAAAAAATGGGCAACAAATTCTGCTTAGAGCAGAGCGCAGGCTCTGCTCACCCGGTGTAGAGTGTGCTACCCAATCGAAAGTGAACAGCCGATAAATCCAGTCCAAGCCTTGGATTGGATTGAGGCCACGACACTAGAGTAGATCCAGTTAGAGCTACTAGATTTAGTAACAAATGGCAAAGCCGCAGACCCCAATCCAATCCAAGCCTTAAGCCGAAAGTATCCGAAAGTGTGCATCTGCCGCCGTGCTGCCATTCAGTTATTGGTGTGTGTGGTTGAGCGTCGTGTTTTCATCGTGTTTCCGGAAGTGGCCTCTTCACTGACGATGTCGGCGGCGAGAAAGTGCTCGTTTAATCCCGGCTGGACTGTCCCGAATATTTTGGAATATGCACGTTGGATTAAGCCCGTGCAAAATGACTCACAGTGCTCAATTGCTCAATGCCTTGTGTTGTAGTTGTCTTATATATTTATCCGCCTCTACAGTGGTCTGGGAATTTCACCTGAGATTGTCTGGGAAACCTGGAAAAGTCGGGGAATTTCAAGATAATATGCTATACATCCTGAAAATTGTTTCTGCCCCGTTTAGCAAATGTGACGTCGATCCTCGGTATAGGTTCCACATCAGGCTTGTTGACGTCGTTCAACCTCCTGTAGTCAATGTAATACCTATTTGTCCCATCCTTCTTCATGATTACCACTGGTGCGTCGTGTGAGGAGGTGCATCTCTCAATTATGCCTAGTGCCAGCATCTTGGGAGATCTCTTCCTCAACCACCTCTTGGAACTGACAATGGTAATGGATATTGCTTCACGTGTATTGGTCACGTCGTGGTTAGCTGCAGGTCGCAAGTCAATTGATTTGTTCTTCCCGGAAGATCAGAGTAGTCTGAAATCTTTGATCTGCGCCCGCACCTCGCCGCTTTTTCTTGTGTCCAAATTCTTGTTTATATTGACGTCCTCCCATCCTTGTTTCATCCAGCTCGGTGTGGGAATCTCTTTGGCGTCTATGAAGCTTTGCTCTCTTACAGCTTCATCCTTGACTTCTTCTGCAACATTACAGGCAGCTCAATCTCGTTGAGTTGTCTTTTCGTTCCGCCGCTGCAAACTTGCGATCGTGGAGTCGCGCACACTCTTCGAAGATTGCTGCGGCGACGCGGGCGTTTTCGTAGCATCGGTATACGAGTTCATTGACTGTGCGAAGCTAAGCATTCTCGAAGCACCGCGGTTTCTTCGCTTTTCCTAGGACCAGAAGGGCTATCTTGTGTTCACATGTCATAATCGCCCCGAACAAGACCGTGATCTTGTTTTTTGGGCTGTTTTCGTCCTTCGTTGTAGACATCTTTGTTGGAAGTGTTTTAAAAACGGGGCCGCTTCGTCAAATTGTAGACATCATCTGCACCATACTTGCTAAGTAGCGGTGCCAAGGGGGTGTTTATCTGATCTCCAGCAACAGTCTTGTTTGTGATGCCGCTTTTTCTACACATCGTCAGGAGCAATAAGTTGTTCCATTCCTCAAAGCAGGAGAACCATCCGGTGCTACACTTAAATTCTTTGTGACCAAGTTGCAATGCTAAATTGTTGGCCTTCTCCCGTAAGATTGTGCCGTCGATGGGAAGGCGAGCTGCAGTGGCATTCATGAGCCGGGTAATCGAGGCAGCTTCCATGTCTGGGTACATTAAGAACCGAATCAATGATCACTTCGACGAGCGTGTCTGGCTGTTTGTCTCAAATCTCCGCCTCGTTCTTGAGGTTGGTGCTGACCGTGGAGATGGCCACCTTGCGCTTTTCCGCGAGCTTGGTTTTAGGGGCGAAGCTCCTTAAGGTCTAGCCTTCTCCATCCGGCGTCTGTGCTCACATCGATTTCCATCCCATCTGTCTTCTTAAAGAAAAAATGTCTGCGCAGTCGACAGAATACGAGCCTGTGCGGGTAGACCCCAATGGATTTCTAGTCCATCGCCTTAACCACCCGGCCGCGACTGCGGGACGAGTAGGGGACTCTGAGATGTGGTAGTAACTCAAGAGCTGGAGATGTCATGGATGAAACGTTGCATGTCGCAGCTCAACGTCTATACAGGAGAGGGCGCTGCGGTCAAATGCTCAAATGCGTATATAACCATGTTCCATACCACACATTCCATACCAATGCAACCCGGAACTCAGCACTACCTATGAGCAATAAAAAAAAATTGGCACCATCAGCACTACCTATGAACAAAATCAGTATCATCAGCACCACCAGAGCTTCGCCCTAATCAACATCATTCACTGCATGGAGATGTGGTCATTTTTTTTTAATGTGTTTACTTGTCTGCTTCCTTGACGAGACAAACTTTCTGATGCGAGGTTGAAGATTTATACTTCGGCATCTTCTGTCGAGAAAACCACATGCGGGAATCCAATTCGCAAAGGAAACTGCGCCGCTATAAACAGCTTAACCGCAGTGGCAGGGTAGAAAGACTACTGATCAAGACCCACGCTCGCGCATGTTACTAAGCCAGCTCAAGCTCGAGGAGGCGAAGGGATTGCTTAGTGTATGGACCGGCAAACCGCACACGAAACAGCAAAGACTTGCGCCATGTTGGTTTTTACTGTCAAATTGGGTTGCCAATGGTGCCACCTAGCAACTGAAATGTGAACTTGGGAGACCAAACTGGTGAATTAACTGGGTTGGCATGCACGGATTGCTCGTATTATCCGGTAATTTTTGTGAGAAATTACGGGACTGTGGAAATTTTGCGAGTTATCCGGGATTTTGAATAAGCTGAGTTTGCATTGACGAGGTTCTACTGTACTTGTAAGGTGGCCGGCGTTATTGAGCCCTATTGTCGTCTATTACGCAACAGTCGGCTTTTAGGTTTATAGCTGTACGCCGACATCGCATGATGTTCGTGCTACCGTATGTCGTCGCGCTACAGATGAGAGTTTGAGGGAATCGTATGCAACTTCGACCGGTCAAGCCGCATTCTGATACAATCGTCAAGTGATGAGCTGCAAATATGTTCTCGCTTCGACCGGAAAGTTGCTGATCTGCTTGTAGGTCAAGGATGAGCAGGCTGGAAATATGAGCCTAAGTGAATAGCCTTGAAGAGTGGCATGTTAAGTTACTGATGAAGAAGATTGTAGTAGAAGAAAAAGAAATGGAATACTCGTGCCCCTAAAGCCGATTGTGGGAAACTACACCGTCCTATGACTACACCCGCAAAACAAAACGATCCAAAACGAATGCGCCAGTAGTCGAGAGTTTATTTGCGTGAATGGCTTTACGAAGCCCTGAGTTTAAATCCTTTTGGGATTATAAAGTTATATTGCTTCACTTTAATTTAACTGCATCCCGCAACAAATATGAGCCGTTGCGGGTTGAGGGGCATGGTTACAACGGCTACCAAGTGACTGAGGCCTAAAAGTGTTTGAAACCGAAACTGTATCGCAATCATTTTTATCACTCCCAATTTATTACTTGAAGGATAAATAAAGTTGAATATCCGTTCGACCCTTTTACATAGATAGGAGTTTCTTAAATATCTATTGTGTGACCTAGCTAATTTATACATTCCCAAAATTAGCACTCACCCGTGCGTTGAAAAACCTTGGTTTTCAGCACGGTTAAAGAGGCTACTGAATAAAAAACGGCGCCTCTACAGGACTGCCAAGCTTTCTCGATCTGCAGACGCATGGAAAAGATACAACCAATGTGAGCGAACATCTAAACTCGAAATAAAGGATGCAAAAACGACATTTTTTACTGAGGATCTTGCTAAAATTATGAGGACCAGCCCCAAAAAGTTCTGGACCGCTGTTAACCCAATTTCCCTTTCACTGATGCGTCCGGAAATGAGATGGGCACTGCTGAGATGTGTGAACAGTTCGGTTGGTATTTCAACAACATTTTTTCAAAGGACCTGTTTCCCCTTCCAGACTTTGATCTAGACTTTAATTTTTACGAAGAAGTGGCCCCTTTAACCTTCTACGCATCTGGCATTATGAAACTGATTGACGACCTACCTTCAAACTCGGCACCAGGGCCTGGCAAAATGACACTGAAGCTTCTTAAACTTTGTGAAAATGAGTGTTTATCTCTTCTTTACTTGATTTTTCAACAATTGCTAGACTCCGGTGAAATATTGGACGACTGGAAGTATGCTGAAGTAATCCCAATCTATAAAAGTGGTTCGAAGAATGAATTCTCTAACTATAGACCAATATCTTTGCCAAGCGTACCCAGTAAACTAGTTGAACATGTAGCATTTTCAAACAATGAACCACTTATGCATGCAGAAGTACTTCTTTGCAAACCAGCACAGTTTATGAAGGTCCCGCTCTTGCAAAACGAATCTTTTTGAGTTCACTAATAACATACATGAAAACCTGCACTCCCGCACAGAAATGCACGCCATCTTTATAGATTTCGAGAAAGCATTCGACAAAGTGCCTCATCACCGTCTCATGTTAAAGATCCGCTCATTGAAAATAGACCCTTTTGTAATTGAGTGGATTTCAACTTTTGTTCTTCACCGTATACTAAGCGTTCATTATATCGATGAAGATTCACCACAACAAAATGTCAAATTGGATGTGCCTCAGGGAACCGTGCTAGGTCTGTTGGTGTTTTTTATATATATAAATAACTTGTCAACTTGTATTCGGTCCACAATTAGATTATATGCTGACGACTGCGTAATCTGTCAGAAAATAGAAAGGCTGGATTACTGTGCGCTTTTTGCAGAACGACCTGATATGTCTTGAAACATGGTGCGAAGAGTGGCAGGTGAAAATTAATGTTTCCAAAACACAATATCTCAACTTTAATACCACACATACATCAACACAGTTCACCTACACCATTTTCAATATGTCAACTGAAAAGGTTCCTGCATATAAATATCTCGGGGTCCACACGGGACGCAAAACTAACGCATATTCATCCCTCATTTGGCCCAAGCTTGAATATGCATCTGTCGTCTGGAGTCCGCATCAGTCATAGCTTACCGATAAGCTAGAAGCCATATCAAACCGAGCTACTCGCTTTATACTTTTTAACTACACTCGCACAAGCATTACAGCACTAAAACAGCAACTTAAGCTTTCACTTCTTGCAGACCGTCAGAAGATGTCACATTTGATTGCCCTTCATCATTTGTACTATCACTCACCATCCAAAAAAGACAAGTATTGCAGAGCCGCCAGTTACATCTCATCACGCACAGGCAACACACAGAAACTTCACGTCACCACTCCCAGGACTAACATCTTCAAATTTTCCCCCATACGGACTGATTGACTACGGACTGGAAGTAACTCCCCAATACTGTTGATTACGGACTGGTATTCACTCCCCGATAACATTGTAACAATGAATTTTATTCCAGTAAGCTTCTGCACATGCGTACTCTCCCACTGTCGCCATTTTCACAAGACACCGGGATGCGATGCCTCGCGAAAATGGCAATAGCAACATTGTCAGCATCTATCTTCACGCTTATTTAGTCTATTTTGATGCCTTGTTTTTTAGTATCGGTAGTATGGGGTATAAAAAGCATTGAAAACCGATACAACGGCACGACGCCAATGTGTTATGGCAGGCAAAGGCATGTTGGGCTGATCTTCTATTGTAGTTTGCAGACAACTCCCCAGACAGCGCTTGTTACTCGAAAAAGGTCCATAGAAGAGCCCAGCACATTCCGAGCCACACTAGTCGCTCCTCACAATGTAGAATCTAACCTAAACCTTTTTTCATGTGTTTTCTTTGCAAGTTTCGATAAATATTGATATTTGTCCCCCTGTATGTAAAGCCCCCTGAGGGTGATATAAGGGTATAATAAATTAAATGAATGAAATGACGCTTTGTTGTTCATGCTGCCCCGGAGTGTCGCATGGTCATTTCGAACAGTCCAGAATACATAATTTTTAAACACAATTTATAAAATTTAAACAAAATATATGTCCGTAATTCTTCAGAATCAACGTCTGTGGTTTAATGAATATAACAAAATCAATATCCGGCAGATACATTTCCTTTTTGTGACCTCTTCAATAGTGAGAGCAACAAACATCTAAAACAAATTTGCGGATTTAAAAAAAAAAAAAAAAAAGTGGAATGTTTTATGAGAAAAAAAATATAGTATGCAATGGGTTAAGGCCTAGCTTGCTTATTTTATGGTGGTCGACTTGTTACAAAAAGAATGTGGAGTAGAGGACATGGTTGTCTAGTCTCCTGTCTACATTCTTTCATTATTTTTGTCTGGTGATTGTGCACCTATGACCCTGCAACACACTTGGTCATCCCTCTCCCAGCGTTTCTATGCCTCCGTGAATTGTAGGTGCCTCTATGAATTGTTCAGCTAACATGTTCTGTGTTTAATTGTTTTTCTGTCTGGGTACAAAAGTTGAAGTGACCTTCTTTAATTGGTCAATGACGATCCGATGCAACAAATTGTCCTCTTACCAATCAGTTCAATCCGTTTGGACCTGGATGAGCATTTCACTGCAGCGTGATGGACGCTAAAGGTCCCAGGCTAGCACTCGTACTGCAAAGGCTATATTTCTGATTGAGAGCATTTGACAATGTCGTTATATTCTAGCAGACAAGGCCACACTTTCTTAACTTCTAATTTGCCTACGAAGAATGCATGTGCATTTGACAAACAGGCTCTGCCTTTTTTTGAATGTTCGATGGATCGTGCAATGTAAGGAAAAACACGAGTTGCAAATTTTAAAGGCTTATGCTCATGTCTAAAAAAACTGTTGGGTTTGGGCCAGGCTCAGGCAGTGTCTATTGGGCAAGGACAAGCCCTAATTAACAGTGTCTGTTTTCTTCTGTAACATTGGCCTACTTATGTTGCTGTCTTAAACACTTTCAAAAATCTGGTTTCAGACTGTAAAACGTTAGTTTGCCTTGCTTTTGAGTTTAACAGCTTGCGGGCCTTCAGCTCTTTCTAATCCCTGGATCATCATATCAGGCTGATGTTTTGTATTTGTATTGACTTTGGTATTATATTGTCACTTTGTTTGTCAGGTTCGCCAGGGCTGGGTGAAGCAGGACAATCGTGAGATGCACATGGTGGAGATGAGTGGACCTGTACTACCCAGTGCCCTGCAGGTGAGCAATCCGAAACTGGTCTCAGTTGATAATGGGCTGAGCTTTTGTGGGGCCTGAATTGTGACAGCCAATCCTGACCTTGCAAGTTTAGACTTCTGGTTGTGCATCTGCTCATGACTGCATTGCCCGTGCAGTCATAAGGATATGGAGTAAGAAGTGGATAGTGACGGCCTTTCAGGTGGGTTTACTCGTCAAACGTCGGATGGAGTATAAGCTATTCTGGGCGGGAATCGGAGCATTTTGGTGTTAATTGTCAGCTGGAGACGCTGCTGATCTTTCCTCTTGTTTTTTCCTTTGTCCGAAGAACACTCACTAGAAAGTTTTAGTGTGTCATAAAGCTGCCGCTTTGCACGTGCGGAGAAATTGCAGGTCCACACTGCGCATGTGCCGAACACAAGGCCAGCTTCACATGCTGTATGCACCTGCTATTTTGGAAAGATTACATATGGCATTCAAAGCACTTTGCATGCATTGCATACGCCTTGCGGTGCACGAGGCTGCTCGACAGGGGGGACCGCTCGACGGGGGGACCGCTCTGCGTAGCAAGAGTTGTGGCGGCGCCCAAGGCAGGGGGTGTTGTGGGCCTTTGCTTCACGATTGGCTACGACCTCTAACTTTTACTTGAAATTCTTGCGTGCGACGCCCTGAAGGACTTTGCCAAATGGCAAGGTGCCTCTAGGGATCTTCAGTTTGTGACAGGAAAGGCACTGACGACCGAACAGGCTCGCTAGCCCCATTTCGTCTATTCCACAGCTTTTATGGTTGTTTGAATACAAGGGGTGCTCAAGCAAAAGTTGGTCATAACCTTATTGGTTTGACTCGATTGTCACTGATAGTAATAGCCACTTTCCTTGCTCGAGCATTTAAGTACCTTGCATTTCATTTAACAGATGGTGCACTAAGCATTTACCTTTTGCAATTCACGGCACACAACATCGACTCTATTTTAAGCTCCTCGCTGACACGGTCGTTGTCGACTCTCGTTAATTCAAACTCTCTTATTCAAACTTTCAGATAATTCAAACTAACATGCAGGTCCCATCCTATGCATCTTTGTGGGAGGAAAATCACAGTACTTCAAACTTTGCTTTATTCAAACAAATTCTCGGTCCCCCTTGAGTTTAAATTAACGAGATTCAACTGTACTGAAAGATTCAAACTCTTCGTGTGTTACGTATGCGAGAAGTCAAAATGCAATACTAAAGCTGTCTGTTCATTTTGACTCTTTTCTGCAAGTAGTTTCTGAAACCAACAGACAGTTTGTTTTTGTTTAGCCTAGTTTAGTTTTGTTTAGTTTTTTGTTACTCAAAGATTATGCTTTGCGAAACCCACTCTGTAGCTCGCAGCAGTTGCAGCTACAGCAGGTCCGTCCAATAACTGCCTCGATATTCCCGTTGCTTGGAAGCAAGCAGCAACGCACCAAGTCTGTGAAAGACGTGTTTGTTGACGTTCTGGTCAACACACTTGCCTGAAGATTGACAAAGTCTGAGGTGATGGCACTTGTCAGGCTTTTGAGTCAAACCCAAACCGAGAACCAGGTCAAAACCGTTGCTTTTGATCAAACTGGAATCAAACATTCGACGTTGAACCCGAACTGGAACGAAACCACAACCTCATGTGGCAACTGCCAGTTCACTGGAAAATGGTTTGGTGTAATTAAATCTGAGCCGGGCCTGTTTTTGCGCGTGGCGCAGGTGGCGTCAGTGGCGCAGTTATACCTAAATAAACTGCAGCAACAAGGAGACAACTCAAGAATAATTAAACAAATGAATTTCTTGTCAACGCGCACCACGACCTGGCATTGGCGAGTCGGGCCAGAGGCCTACCTCTAGCTCAGCTCTGTACTCCGTTCACCCCTAAGCTGACAGTGCGGTCAAAGCTATGCCCTTGCCCTACCAAACAACTGCCTCCCTTTACTCACCTGACCTCGCTGTCTGCACACGGGTATAGATGGGGCGTGTGGCCAAAGATAGACGTAGGACTGGTCCAACAAGTATGTAGCTTCCATTACACTGGCAGCTTAGGGGTGAACGGAGTATAGCTGACTGTGCCAAGGGGCAAGACATTCTTTTTTTGTTGCTGCGATGGCTGTTATGGGCTCTTGCCGCCATTGAAAATGACATCCGTTGCCATTGTAGTTGTGCAGTTGCCAACCAATATTTTGGACCTAACAAAGAAACCGTTACCTACCCAATAGAAATGGTGCATATTCGCAACCAATGTTTCGCACAGCTTGAAGTCTGAAAGTTTGATTTTTTCGGTCAAAATCGTTTTGCCAGCGATCAGTGGAAAACACCAACGTAAAGGTGGCATTTTAGGTTAAATGTTGGCTGCACATGGATTGGCTTGGTTTAGCAGCGCTACTTGAGTACTACCAAGTCCTACCGCTAGGTGATGCATGCTGCAACTTTTTTTTTTCTCTAGCTGCGCATCATTATTATCAACATTGTTACCATTCTGCTTTGTTTATTTGCCATTCTGCAGTTGTGGTCTTGCACCTCTCATCTCGTTTCGGTGAATTGCGTTTTCGTACTGCGCTGGCTCGGACATAATGGCCCCATCTTTTCTCCTGCTGCTGCAGAGTTTCGCTAAGAAGTGCGGGAAGTACTCGACCAATGCTCTAGAAAAGATTGGAGTGATTCTCAAGCTAATAGAAAGTGGCTGTAAGCACGCGCGGGCGTAACCTGAAGCAAGGCACTATTGACAGCTTTTCTTAAGCCCGCTTTAACATAATAAAGGCAAGTTTTTTAATCTACTGATTTTTCGGACTCCTCTATTATTCGGACGTTGTCTCGGTCCCTGCGAAGTCCAAAAAATCGCCTGGTGACTGTGGTAGGAAATCTGCTGTCGATATTGCCAAATGCTGGAAGAACATTGCCTGGTGCCGCGGTGCTCTTGAGATTTGATTCTGGGTCTGCTGCGCGTAAACCGGGCATGTGAAGCAGCAGCCAAAACATCTAAAGTAGCAATTTCATTCCTGCCTGTAAAATGGTAGTGTCTGCCAACTTTTAATGGGAGGTTCCTCTCAATTTTCTAACTCGAGACCCTTTCCATACATACCCAAGCTTCGACAGTCTTTAGGTTAGATTAACATTGCTTATTAAGCTTTAGGGTGCGGCTTCACGTTTAACTCTTTCCTTGCCAATGGGGAAAGTAGCAATTTTTAAAGGATCCATGCAAATGCTTTTATTTTCCTAACTAATTTGCGTATGGAGCGATATGATGCATCGAAATGCGGCCAATTTAGTTGTTCTTTTAAAGGGATACTTCAACGAAATTTGAAATATTCCCGTCGTGTTCAAAAATAGGTTGAATATGATCCACAATATTCGTAAATGACAATCGCACGTTTGTATTTTGATCCTGGTGGCTGTATTTTTCGTTATAAACGGCCTACTCTGGCAAGCGCTCGGAGAAGGCCCAGCTTAGAGCACGTGACATCCAACGCAATCGTGACGTAGGTCGTCTCAAGACGAGCAAAGCTAGGCGAGGCTGACGTCGAGAGGATGGCCTAGTTGTTCCAGCCACCGAAGCGGCTGCTTTCGTACGAATTTTGAGTGACGGGTTAATCTTCTATAATCTTTTAGGGGGACAATAGCGACTTCTGCGACGCACAAAAGGGATTCTCGGGAAGAGGGGAGTTCCTCCTTCCCCCCTTCTCTCGTCGTGGCCGGAGACGAGACAACCTCCGTCACTAGCTGTCAAGGTTCCTATACGAGCGTTACAAACGAGGCGTTAGCGACATCCACCAGGTGCTCTTTGCTAATCGTTTAATTCGTTTTAAAATTCCTTTTCGAGACTTTTTTAGCAAGATATTGGTACGTTCCATGTGATACTGCTCTTTTGAACACATATAGACCAAAAAATGAGCGCCGAAGTTTCGTTGTAGTATCCCTTTAAAAGAGACAGATGTTGGTATAATGTGGAAAACAGATTTTAAAAGTATATTTCTTGAAAATACAATGTATGTGTAAAAGGCGTATCAATGCCGTAACTTCTAGAACTGTCGAATTAAATGACAAATTAAAAGAAAAATTCTGAATATACAAAATGTGCCCCACACCCACTTCTGCATTGAGTTACCAACTCTTCAATGAAGGATGTTGGAACGGGGGGGAGATAGGGGGTTGGAGGAGAAGGGAGACACAAAGGGGTTTATACGTTTGTAAACCGACGAAACATGCGTTAGCCGTGGCACAAAAAAATTAGAGAAGAAACTTTCATGAAAAGGGGGTGGAGGGGGTAGCACAATGGAATAGAAGGGAGACACAAGGGGGTCTATACAAACAGTAATCATGATAACAGGCGCTGCCCGGCACCAGTGTTGCTCTAATTTCTGGTTTGCCATGGCTTGCATGTTAAAGTGACTAAAGCCTCTCAGAGCCAATACTAGCCACCGCAGCACTCATTTGTGCGATTCGTGCTTTCCAGCGGGACGCGCATTGTTGGGCGTGCATTGGATCGGATAAAATTTTTAACTGGACGGTCTGGACCCAATTCGGAACATATAGCTGTCGCAACAGTGACGATGCGAGACTCGGGACGCTTAATGAAAAGTGGGAACGGTCCCGCAAAATCCGGGACGATTGGTGACCATACTTCTGCAAGTTTGTGTACTCTAACTGATGTTGTCTATTATTGGTTCGTCGGAGAGTTAGCCTTCTAACACGTATGCTTTTCAACGAAGGGATGCTTATATTGGTGAAGCACAAATAGTACACCTGACGTCCCCAGCAGATTGCTTTCTTTGTGTTCTACCTTGGTTTTGTCATAGCCTTGATTGCAGTTCCTTCATATTTAGCATATCTGTCTGCCTTGTTGGGAACTTAAAAGATGCACACAGGCTAAAAACTGCATTGGAAATTATAGTGGCGCTTACCGACAACCATCTGTTAAGCTACGCCTATAACATCATTTAGAGCCATAATAGAGTTGAATTGTGTAAATAATGCCATCTTTGTTACGAAGACTGATGCAAGCAGTTAGCCATGTTAGACAAGTGCAACCACGGTTCCCAGGACTATTTTGAACAGCCCACCGGCTAGTGATGAAGCTCCAACCAGTGTTGAAACCGAAACTTGAGCTCTTCGGCTATTCATGAGACTGTGGAACATAATTCTCCGCACTAAATTTAATTTCTTGATGGCACAGTCAGCGATGATAAATGGCCTATGGGCGCAGTCAGGAGAGGGCTAAGACGCGATGTGGTACGAGGTGGGGAAGTAAAGGGTAGATGTGAGGACGCAAGGGTTAAACAGGGGGAACTAGTGGAGCAATGCTTCCCGAATGTGCTCAAGAAGCGAGTCTAAGATGGCTTTTCTGTGTTGTGGAATACCCCTTCTGGGACGGATCCGATCCACCAGCGTCGTGGGTCTGTCTACGGAGGAACGAACAGGGTCATTTCTTCTTCCCTCGACAGGGGCTGTGCACGCTGTTTGGCAACACTCAGGAGGGCGGTGCCTTCTCCCTGGTGACTGCACCCCATGCCCCCACGGCCGCCTTCAACGCCTTCCAGCCACGCACCACGGCGACCCCGGCCGCGTTTGCGACCGAGGCCCTCAAGGACTGCGGCCTCCCGAGCACCTTCGTGCAGCAGCTCTGCAGCCGGACAGAGGGCACCGTGCCGGTACTCACTGCGGTCAAGGCAGAGGGGGGACGCTACGACGTTGCCGGTTCTGTCTGATTTGCGGTGCTCGACCGTGCGTCCATCCTTGTTCTCTACGTCCAGGTCGGCTGCGGGCGTGTCGTTCTATTTGCTTTCATTACCTCTTCAAGTAATGGTTTGGGTTGTGCTCATTGCCGGAGGCTCCTCTGCTTGCCATTTGTGGTGTGTTGCCCCTTGTTGGTCTATTTTAGGCAGTTTGATACTTTTGCTTTGTGTTACGGGAAAAAACATAAGGACATGCTTTTCGTGTAAAACTCTCTTGGCTCATGTTCTGTCTATGGGAAAGCACGGCAAGAGAGCCGATTTTGCCATACCGCCATCTCCTTCCATGCAATAGTCGCCACCACCGAGGCAACAAAGCGTCTCCCGAATAGATGCATACACAAACGCAACGCCCGAAGGCAGCGACTGCAAATGCCATTTTCCAAATGCCTTCTGCTAATGTCAATGCTGCAACGCTAGCCTGAAGCCAACACCATTTAAAAACCTAGTTTGGGGCTCCAAGCTAGGCTTCCAAACAGACCACCCCGCAGGCGGTCACCCTTCTCTTCACTCTACTCTGCTCGGTGAACATTGATTATAATCTCGGGCCCGATCTTGCACCAAGCCTCGTTGGAATCGTCAAGGGTATGGCAAGCGACCGCTTCCTGCTCTCTACATCATCCCTCCATTGGTGTGCCTGGCTTTAGCTAGCGTCTACTTTAGTGGATGCTATTCGGAAAATGGCGTCGGCTGTTGCTGGCTTTGGATGCTACAATCGTGTATGCGTCTCTATGGGAAACGCTTTGTTGCCACGGTGACAATGACTACGGCGGGCAAACTTAATTGTGTGGAAGGAGACAGTGGTGGTGGCGAGATCGAGTGCATGCTTGGTCTCTTTAGCCATGCCTTTCAATAGGGTGGAATGTGAGCAAAAAGAGCTTGAAACAAGAACTTAATGCAGACGAGCGATTTGCTGAAGTGCCTAATATTTCGACAAGCCTTGTACGAAAAGCACGTCTTTAGCTTTGAATTTGGACTAAGCTTTTTTTATGGTGACATGGGGCAAAGCTACCAGCGTGTCCGACTTTGTTTGTTGATTATTTCACCTTCCTGCTTTGTCTGCCGTTCGTTACTTTTTGTTTGTTTCAGGCTCTGGGTATTCTTTACTATGTGTGAGCACCTTTTTGTTGCTTACTGCCTTTGTATTACTAGGTTTTGTTTTCTATGTCCTCGAGGGCTACGCGCCATCTACCACTATAAGGGTTCCAGGAGGTTCTCGTTTTGAAGTTCTTTCTACCAGCGCTGTCGAAGCTGGTAGGTACCTCCGTGATTGGTTCGAGTATCCAGAGATGCACTATCTGTTTTATCAGGCATGCAATATGGCAGTTAGAAGTTGTCAGCTCGTTTCTTTGCCCTTTTGTTATTATTTATTTCATTGTGGCTGTTTCTGATCTTGCATTATAAAACTTGCAGACAACAATCTCTCATCGTAATCCTAACCCCGAGATCAGGAGAAATGAAATAATGAATAAGATGACGCATAATTTAGCTTGTCAATTATTTTATTTCTTTGTGTCTCAGGGTTTAGATTATGCTTTTTCCTAACCAGCTTGCCTGCACACTTTCGCTTCTTGCGATGTCTCAATTTCTTTTGCTGTAAACCCACCACGCGAGGGTTTGGTCAAGAGCTGTGAACCTAATTCCAATTCACTGTGCAGCTTAGTATGTGTGCTTCATTTTTCATTATTTTTATGCGTGAGATGGTAAGCGTTTTAAAACAGATCGTACAAGAAACGGACATTGTGAAGCACTTGTGTCGTATGTGTCTTCAGAACAAGACATGTGCAACAGACGAGCACTTGTCTGTTGCACATGTCTTGTTTTGATCCCCGTTTTTTTTCTGCGCTCCGCTCTATAGCTCTTAACACTTTTAAAGGTAAACATTATTGGACATTCATGTTGAAAAACTGAAAACTGACAGGCACAGTTAGGTGAGGGCCAAGTGTGTCCAAATTTTGCACTAATCTGCTGCAAACTTTGTGACATGCCTCGAGTTGCATGTGTCGTAGTGGCTGGTTGAAAAGTTGTATTTACAATATTCTTAGCTCATTTTAATGTTGGGATGCTTACATTTGAAATATAGTCACATTTGCTTGCAAACATTTTATTTTTTTCCTGCGTCTTGTTGGGTAAGATTGAGGGATGGCTAAAATCTAAAATCACCTTGTTTCTGTAAAGGTTCGACTGAGCTAGGTGACGGGTTGCAACAGTTTTAAACAAGTCATTTAATCATTTTTATGTATTTCTTTTGAAGTGCGATGCATGCATTTTTATTTGTGGTGTAAAATTTATTTGCGGCAACAATAGGTACTTTTTTCTTTTCTTTTTTGGAGTGGGTGATTAACTTATTTTCATTAAGTTTTGAATGAACTCATGCAAATCATTGTAAAGCGTGATATGTAATTCATTTCTGTACTTGTCATTTATTGCAATAAATTAGTATGCAAATTTACAAATTACATTTTTGTACGTAAGAAAGTATGGTTGACCTTAGTGCTGCGGTAATTTTAAATATTGCTAAAAACATTTTTTTATGGCTTAGTGGCAATGTTTTTATTTTAAGGAAAAAAGGAAAAAAAAAAAAGATTACTTCGAAACTGGAAATAATGGACACTCAAGAAAAAGGTTGCTCCAGCCGCAAACCGGCCGCTTCCAGGCGCAATTTAATGAGAGCGCAAATATAAAAATGTCCAGCGCCGCGCGCTCTTTAACGAATTGCGCGGAAGAGGAAAAACAAAATAAAAGAACGCGCCGAAACCTCCTCAGCTCCCGAAAGGTTGTTCGAGAGTTGTAACGCGCGGCAGAAACCTCACCAGCGAGCCGACGGCCAAAGCGAAAGCCCGAGTGCAATCATGAGGCATCGTCAGAGCCCGTCGGCGAATACCACGCCTCCCCTGGCGATAAACGATTTAGCGGGAAAAACAACTTGAGATGCAGATCGCCGAGTGCGATTCATGTGTGCGTGGATTTCGCCGGTACGGGCTTTCCGACGTATTGACCGAGTGCAGGGCGGCTGGGCAGATCGTTGCTTGGATGGTGTCGCCACCTGGTGCAAGACCGCAGCGGGTCACTCGGCTGACTTCTGTCACGTTTCCTCGTTTTGCGGGTCTCGATTGCGGGACGAATACCCGAAGGAACGTTATCGGAGTTCTTGGCGCGGCCGAAATGCCACGGTACGACACGAACCACGGCCTGACAGCGAATTAAAAAGCAGCGAGAAACTGCGAAGCGGGAAAAAAAGTCCACCAAAAAAGCCACCGTCGGCAGTATTCACACATGAGTCACTGCGCGGTGTTGTGAGAAAAGTGGTTCAGTGTTTCGGGCACCGCGCAAAGGATCGGCATCTAAGGTTGGTTCACGGTGCTCGTGATTATTTTCTCCGGTGTTTTCGGCATTTTTTCGCGACTAAAATCGCTTTCAGATTGCGATAGAAAAAGAAAATGCCGGACCGCAGCACGCCGTTAGGGGTGCTGCCTCCGCGGCCGCGGTTAATTGCAAAAAAGTAGTCCCTCGCGTCGAAAATTTATGTCGGTTGCGGGTCGATGCGTGGTGGTGTGTGCCAGTCGGCCGAAGTATTTCGAGTGGATTATCGGACCGGGTGTTTGTGAAGTTGTGGCGACGTCCCAGCCGGGGCCAAGACGAGTGTGCGGAGGGATTCCGTTATCCGTGCTTTCCTTCTCCCAGATGTTCCCGCTCTCGAAGTGGCCAGAATAATAGTGTGCGTGCGGCTGATAAGGCCATGCCCGTGTAAGCATCGGTCCGCGGCTGGCTGACACACGTGGTGACTGTGGACCCCGGCAGCGAGCTGCGAGATGGGCGTCGGGCCTCCGGGAGCCCCGGTGACGCGCGCCGCGTGAGGATGCGACCGTTCAGGGTGTGGGCCTAGTGGCAGTATGGCAGCGCCAGCGCAGAGCCTGCTAAATTGTGAACAAAAAACGGCAGACAGCGCGGAGCTGCAGCCTCCTGGCTCCGGCGGAGGCCTCAAGAATGGTGCTTCGGGCGAAGAGCTCAGCGCGGACGAAATTCCGGCCGGCGTGATGGTGAATAACCGAGTGAAATCGCCCAGCAGTGCGAGTGGACACATCGGTCGAGAACTGACAATGGATAACTTCCAAGATGGAGGTACCCACCAGCTGAACGCTAGGCCTAGTGCCGTCGCCGGCGATCCGGCCGCTTTTGCGGACCGACAGCGGCTCGGCTCCGATTTCCGGGCGTACAACCAGAACCTCCGGGATTCCGTAATGGTCGGTGAGGAGTTTCGGAACTCTCCGGACAGCATGAACCACGTTCCGGTGGCCGGTTACGGCGCGGGCTACGCGGACCGGGGAGGCTACATGGCGAGCCAACATGGCGGACCCAATCTACCTGGGTCGGACTCGGCGCAGAACAAGCTCTACCAGCACTATAACCAGCAGCACATGAGGCCCGGATACCCGCAGCAGGGGCCGCGGGCCGCTATGGGGCCCATGGGGAGCCCGCAACGGCCGGGCGCCATGATGCCGTGCTACCCGCCTAGCGCCAACGGCGGGGCGCCGCACAGGTTCCTTTCGGGCCCCAGCCTGAGCCAGCAGGGCGGCCCGACACCCACGCTCAATCAGCTGTTGCAGTCGCCCAACCCGCTGCACCGCTACCAGAACAGCTACCCCGAGTACAACTCGGCCATGCACAAGGCGGACATGGCGCAGTACCCGGCCTCGGTCGGGTCGCCGCACTCCTGGGCCGGCGCGGTGCGCGCGTCGTCGCCCTACCCGCAGCAGATATCGGCTCCCATGTACAGGCCGCCGGTGAGTAGTCGCTCGTTGTTGTTCGGGACGTCCGCACGCGCCTTCCGCGCGAACAGTGTCGCGCGGCTCGAACCGCCACAGGCGCTTACGTAATTCTGCCTAATTGCAGCCGATCATCAAAAGCCGAAGGCGCCAAAAACGTTCTCCGATCGCGATCGACGCTGCTGCTGTTTGCGTGGAGTTCTCGATCACACGCGTTGTTTGCCGGAGTGGCCTGTTCACGTGCTCCGAAAACGCGAGTTTGGAAACGGCGTGCCTGGCGTCGTCCGCTGCGCGTGGCGGACGCAGTTTCCGGTTCGCTTGTGCGGGACAGCAGCCGTGATCAACAAAATATGATCGCTTTTCCACGCGTCCAAACCGCGAGCTCAAACGCCGATGTTGTCGGTGAGGTTTTTTTCGTCGTTCTCTGCTCGAAGAATACGGTTCTTCCTTTTTTTTTTTTCTTTCCCGGCTTAAAAAAAAGCGGCAGTGCTCGGTCTGGACAGCGCGCGTCGCCACCGCGCGTTGTTTGGCTGCGTAGCGAGTGGGCGAACTGGCCGGTCGATGCTTGCTGCGCGCCCGTGTGCCGCCCCTCTGCGAGAGCCATCGATTTGGCACGGCGGGCCCAACCAAGAGCACGGCCCCGACTGTGTCCTTTGTTTTGCGCACGTTTTTTGAAACGCCACCCGAGATACTTAAGCGGCACGTTCTCTTTCTTTTTTTTCCAAACCCCCCGCTCTAATCCTCTTTGTTTGATGCGTCCAGTGCAAAAAGGGCAAGCGGACTGCGCGTCGAACTAATCAAGCGCCCGAACGAGCTACGGGGTTGTACTCATTAATTGCCCTGTGTAGTGACTCTAGTTTCATTCTTTTTGTTTGTTGAATCGATAAATTGGATCTGCGTCACTCACTGTGGCTTCTCAAACTTCGCTCAAGTGATCATTGTTCTTAGTTATGGCTTGCTTCCAACAACCAATTCTATGGCGGAAAACTAAACTTCATTATAGAGGCGACATTTTCAATGTCAGTGCCACCATAGCACGTCAGTCAGTGCATCTTGATGTTAACTGTCGCACTTCTTCACAAGAGGTTGTTAGCTGGTTCATTCTAAAACAGGCTGATTCTGGCAGGAGTGGTGCGAGCAAGGGCGTTTTCAATAGCTTTCAGGTCAAAGAAACGGGCGGTTGTCCATGATGAAACTGTAGTCGCAGCACATGCACTGAAACAAATGTGCCATCTTAGTGCCCAGCCCATAATTTGTGCATTGAATTGTAGACAGTGCCACCATGGCATTAAAACGTGGGTTTTTGATGATATTAGGGTCATATGCGCGGCATTCCCTTATATATCTTCTCGCATTTCGCCTATTAAGAGCAAGCGGTTTATTGTACAATGTAACTGAGTTTATTGTACAATGTAACTGTGCTAGATGACTGAAAGCATCTTCTATGTAACTTAGTTGCTTCATCACAAAGGCAGCTAAGGACAGGACGCATGCTCTGTCGGTGTGTGACGAGGACGTGTATGACCAGGTTGCAAATAGGGACGAGTTGCTACGGAGCAGAAAGCCAAATTGAAAGAATGGATACAAAGGCAAGCAGGTGGTATTCTGTCACAATTAAAACTTGAGGCAAAGAGAGCAAAGTAGGAGACAGAGAGGGACACATTCCGCCTGCTAAAGCAAGATTTCGTTTAAACTGTTTGCTGCATTCCACAGTGTCTGCTGCGAAAAACAGAACTACGAGGCTCACGAGTTCAGCCGCCATGTTGACCGCATTAGTTAGCCCCTGGGTGTTGTACAAAAAAAAAAAATTGATGTTGCTTTGATGTTGCATTGCTTCAAAGTGTAGTAATCTCGTCTGCATAGTCTGCAATACGCTGTTCAGTGCCTGCCATTCAGCGTTCTGGAGCCGGAAGGTATTTTTTCTATTCTGGTTCTGACAAATCAGTGGGGCACGGCATCTGGATGAAAGTTTATTTTTGGAACAAGGATCAAGTGCAGAGGACACCAGCGTCAAAACTTTTGAGCACAAGTGTATAGGCTTACAGCTAGGATGCAGTTTGTAAAACTTGTGTATGAATTCACTTTTGCTTCAAATGCTATGGTCACCATATACTAGTGGTGGTTTCTTTTTGAACGGAGACTGACTGCCTTGGAAGGTAGGGAGAAAGCACTTAATACACTGGAGCTTGGTAAGGCTGGACACCCTATTTTATGGAGATCAGGCAACAACTAAAATAAATGCATTGAAAAGTTTTGTTTCTCTCTCTTTACCAGGCGTCTAGTCTGAGGTTCTCTTGTGCGAACCTTAGGCTGTGCTTTAATTCATTCTACCTCAGTGTGACTTGCCAAACAGGTAGAGTCAAGCACCCACAATGTGAGACTTTTTTTGGAGGTCTTGTGCCCATTTTCTATCCACTCAACGAAAGTAGCATTTATTGACCAGCACACAGCTGTCACATAAGTGCCAGGACTGATCTGTTTGGGGACACCCACTTGTTCCACTGCTTTCATAGTTGTTGCTATATCTTTAATTTTCCTTCTGCAGCGTGTAAGGCAAGTCTTCTGGCTTCCGAGGATGCTTAGTACTCAGGAATGTTTGTCGAGCATAGTGTTGAAGGATCTGTCCAAACCCCTGGCAAGGTCGGAAGATCTGGAAACACCATTTCGTTTCTTTGTAAGCTTATGTGGTATCTACTGCAATTGAAATTTATGGGCATATATCCTTGAAATCTTTCACCTCAAAAGATTGCTGGCTTTTTTTCCAAGTGTGAGGTTATCTTCCTAAAGTGTCCCCGCTGTGAATGCAAACTGTAACATGCTTCGATATAAAGCATCTTGTACTAAGCTTTTATGAAGAGCTGAACTAATCAGAAACTGGAAATCTTACTCGACGAACGGTTTAAAAGATGGCGGGAATAAAAATTCCTATTCTCGTCAGATTGAGCTTCCTCAATATTACGAGGGGAGACATGCTCCAACTTTTTCTCTCTTTTACATCTAGGACCCACTGAGTGTGTTTAACATCCTGCATCGAACAAATTGTTTTAGCAAGAAAGACTTCGGTCACAAAAATAGGATGGCGATAATGGAAGGACATCCAAATCTCTGCAGTGCTGCTTATGGCAGAAGTTTGAGTTTGTTCCAAAATATGTTCCGATGGCATCTCAATAAATCCTGCCAGCTTTTGCCTGATTATTTTGCTCTTCCTTTTGGGTGGCCAATGCAGATGTTATCTTTCTGAAGTCCCTTCTGCATAGATGGTGATTTTTGAAAGAGTCGGAGTACTTCTTTCTTTGTCGCCGTCAGAATTTGGCTGGAGGTTGTAGAAGGCAAATAAGATGTCGTTACTTGCAGCTTGAGGCCTTTCTTTTTCCACCTTGGTCGAACAGTATCACTAAATCCAGAGGTGAGAACATGGTAATGATCATCAGCATGCTGTGCATCTTAGGCAGGATTGTTTTTCTGCTCCCCAAGTTCACAGTAATCATTGTACCAGGGCAGTGCAGAACAAAAAGAAAACCCTTTCAGGTTGGGTTATAGACCTATTGCGGAATCACCCAAGCATCAAAGAGCAAAGAGTTGGGGCGCAAACGAGCTGGTGAAGGTTTAACATGTTGTGTTATACTGAGTCTTCTCCCCAGTCTCGGGGGTTTGTCTAAAATTACGTCAATGAGAACGCCAAGAACGTATACTCCATCTCACAAACATCTCCAGTGCAAGCAAAGGCATGGGCACAAGTGCGCGGCTTTGAAAAGTACCTCCTATGCACGAGTTCACGTAAAACAAGCATTCTGCTGAGCTAAGCTCAACCTGCCTTTGGCTTTACTGTAGACATTTGTAAGGTGGAGTATTGGTACACGGGTACTTCCTAGGGAACATGGGTATACATAGCTACTTTCAAAGTACACGGACTGCATGCGCTGGCGACTCCAGCAGTAACTGTCCGGGATCAATAAATCTAAAGCAAATCACCTTGCACGTGCGTTCCTCAACATCTTGTTTTGGTTACTTACTTCAAAGCTCTTATACAGGGAAGCCGAGCATGTGAACCGATGTTCCTTTGGTGCTCGGGTAATTTAGCAAAAGGCCTATTGGTTTTGTTGCTCAAAGCCTTGAAAGTTTTGTTGTCTCATCTGTTTTTCATTTCATATCTTTATGTACACTTTTTTTTATTTGCACACTGGCCGAAGATTACTTTTTGGGTGATGATTTTCCGATCAGAGTCCATCAATCTTCATCCAGTGATGCACTGAGGCGTATATAGCCATAGAGCGTCGAAAGAAATAGAAATATATAATTTGTTTTATTGCCAGGATGTCATGCAAAATAAAAGAGTAAAACTGATTTAGTTTTGCTTCATTTAGCATGTGGAGCAGCAGGTGGTTCTAATTTGAGGTGACTGTCCCATTTTATGATGCTGATTTCTTTTACAAATTTGGAGTGCATCCATTCCAGCTAATGCAGATAAACGAAAGGTCTCAAATGTAGTGTAAGGGGCTGCATAGAAAAAGCAGTTTACATAATGATCTATTGAAGATGCTGCAATGTTGCCACAGTTGACAGGGACGACTAAAAGAGAGACCTTTAGAAAATTTTTTTTTTAAATGTATGTTGCTAATCTGGTTTGCTTCACTACCACTGCTGTAAACTTTTTTATTTCACTATGTTTTTGTTTCTGTGAATTGCTAACTAAGGTAAAAAAAATATGTATTGTGCAAATATGTATTTCTTATAGACCTTTTCTGCAAGCGCGCTGCCATCTTGAATTGACGTCTCTTCCAGTATGGGCGAAAACATTGTTTTGCCTTTGCCATGCCAATAGAATACATTTAGGATATAAGCGTAACGGTTACCCATTTTCGTTTGCCTCCCCTTTATTTTTTTACTATTTCCAAGTTGAAACGTTTGATTATTTTTTCGTTGCCCATACCGGATACGCCAATTAGGTGGCTGGGAATGAGAGTACACAAAAAAGGTCTATACTTAGTGCCTGGATACAAAATTATCTGGTAACAAGA